GTGAGTAGTGCCCACACGTTCCGTTCGACGAGTCGTATCACCACATTCCGGGGCGAGAATTCAAGGCAGCGGACCACATTCAAGGAACACCGGGGCAGTGGAATCTTTGGTGGTGGACGCGGAAGATCTTCCCTTCTTCGTAGGCGGGTTAAACGAAGTGGCGACCATTATTCCATGCTGAGGAACATATTCAAGGTAGACGCGGTATACGGTAAAGTCTTGTAAAAGCGTCAGAGTCTTGGTAAACTTCTCCAACGGGCCTGCGCAGATGAGGTGCTTCGGCGATGAATCCGATTAGGGCACACGGTAATAATTGACGTCGGGATAAGTTCCGGTCACAACCTAACCTAACCTTGCAACCGACCAGAGGATCTCGGTCGGATGCATCTTTGCCGATTTCAAATTCTATGAAGAAACTAAAAGCTAACGATTCGTTATCTAGTTATCCGGAATCAGACATGGACTGGGGAACAGAGCCCAGGCTAGAGGATGCACCGGGAGACGAGGCAAGCCGACGGACTCTTCCGAGTGAGCAACAGGATGGCGAGCAACGAGATTTTCCACCGGAGCCAGGAGACAACGGGGGAAATCCGGCCATTAACATTATTTAACCAATAATAATATATATACGTTAGTTTTATATGATAAAATATATAGAGTTCTTACCTTTATACTTATATAACAACGTAAGATTATACTTACCTGTCATAAATCCTCTTCGTACCCTAAAGAATAATAATTCAAGTAAAAGTTAAATTCATTTATATTCATTTAAACTCATTAGATTCATTTAATAAAAAGAGTTAAAGTATATATACTTACCTGCGTAGAGTCTTAAGCTTACGTAGAGTCACCTGCCTGCGTAGACCCATGTAGCGTACAGCGTAGAGCATCAGGCAGAGGTGAAAATTAAATATACGTTATAAAGGAGATTCGCTCCGATAATTATTCATATAATATGTTAAAATAACACATGGCAAAAGGCCATTTTGATTGTTTAACTTTTAAGACTTTATATACAATAAAAGTTTATGTATCAACTTAACATTATACACACGGGTGTATCTCGACCTAAAGAAAGTTTCCAACGGGACAAATTCGAGATTCTAAGCGTATTAATGAAAGCGCAACTGCATGCTATAGGAGCATTGCATTCGTGTATAATAATCGCGCGAAAATGCGACAAGCCCGATATTCAAA